CCGCCCCGCCCGCGCGCCGCCGCCCACCATCCCTCTCGCCCCTTCCCTCCACTCCGCCCTCCCTCCCCGGCCACTTCTGTTCCATTTCTTCCCACGGTCGGCCTCGGCTGCTCCTCTTTGTCTCGCCCTTACCCGCTAGGCTCGCCTCACTTCTTTCCTGCAAACCTTTGTGGTCCCTACTCGGGCCTTTCCTGTCCCGGTTCTTGCGTCCCAGTCCCAGTCGTTGGGACGTCCCCTTTTCCATTTCCCTCTCCATCATCACACATACACTTTCGGATTCTTCCCGCAGGCCCCGCACGGTGCCATCGTCCGCCCGCCCCCGCCCCCAGTCTCGCCGGGGATGACTCCTGGCATCACCTTCCTTGCTCACCTTTCATTCATCCAGCCAGCCAACGAGTGTGATCATCTGCCTGGTGCCGGGCACTGCCCTGGGCCCTGGGAATATCAGTGAATCAACCACGAAGACAGCCTTTGAGGAACGCACAGCCCTTCCGAGTGGGGAGTGGGTGTAAACAGATCTTTACAAGGCTACTCTACACTCGCTCCGCACCAAAAGGTCAGGGAACAATAATTACAATACAAAGACCAGACGCTGCCAGTGGAGAGGACGGAACAGTTCCTTCTCATAATATTTGTTTTTCCCTTCCTCAATCCCCACTTTCTGTACCTGTCCCCAGGCTCCTACGTTTTCTAAGCATAAAAGGATGGAAAGTTGAAACGAGCAGTAAAACTGCTAAAAAAGGAAAGAAGGCCAAACAGGGCAGCTGAATAATAAGACAAGAAGTTATGAAGCCCATTTCACTAAACACCAGCAAAAAACTGATGCTGTGCTCAGAGCAGGATTCAAATTCCTCTGAAATCCATCTGCTTTGATAAATGTACTAATTATTCCCGTGTCTACAGATTGACATTCTGGGACATGTTTCCTTATTATTACTAGGCCACTGAGGCACCATTTAGAACCATAATTTACTGTCTAGCACCTGCCAAACACCCGGATTGCTTCAGGGACAAAGGGAATAATGGAGAGGGGAAAAAAAAGTAAATGGATGCCTTAATACTCCCAAGGGATAAATGCTTTATTTGGTCAAAATCTGAAAGCTGAAGCTCCTCTTACAGAGTCTAGGTCACCCAGCAAGCCAGATGCTTGAAGGAGCTTAAAGCAGTCTGTTCTCAAGAGTGTTTTAGGCATTTATTCTGAAATCCCTGGTTATTTATTTAATTTACACTGACTCAGACACTGGCTAAGCTCTGTGACCCTGGGGGAGTTAGTTAACCTTTCTGAGTCTCAGCCTATTCATGTCTAAAATGGGGATACTCATACCCGCCTACCTGTAGAGTTGAAAAGGTTAAATGAGATAATGTAAGTAAATCACTCAGTGTCAGATCTGAGAACTAAGCCCTTTTGAAAGTTGATGTTCCTGAAAGGTCTGAAGATATATGCCACAGACTGGCACGAAGAGAATGAGAATCAAAAATAAACAATCACAGTTCTTTGGCTCCATATCCATCCATGATGCAAAAGATGTCCTTCCTTCTGAGCAACATTTTCCCATATTATTCTATTTCATTTTGAACTCTTCAACAGAAAACATTTTTTTCTCCTGCTGCTCATTATCAAATACATTATTTATCACAAAGATTTTTTTTCCCCATAGCTCATAAGCTCAGAACTTACTGTGCATTCAGGGATAGAAATTGCTGCCAACGATGCATTTGCAATTGCTCTCTTAAGATTGTTTTTTTTTTTTTTTCCCTCTAGAGCTAATATTGAGCTATGAGCAGAACTCAGTCAGACGAAGAGAAAACAAAAATTGTTATTAAAGTAATTATTTCACTATATGTCACTGCATAGGTGACAATAGTGTGGAAAACATGACACTGACTTTGTGCAAAAATTTAATTTTTTTTTGCAAGAAAAGGAGAGAAAGGTACATACTAATTCTCCTTTCCCAAATTAGTTTCATAAACCATTCTCTTTTGTATTTAGCCCCCACCACAAAGACTTCTGAACTAAGATAACAAGAGGCCTTGTCCAACTAACTGAATCCTAAATGTGAACTGAAGAATCTACATATGATGAGACATATTTTATATAAAATATCATTTAGATCTTGCAGTCCACATGAAACTAGTAAAAGCAAAATCGCAAAGTATGCTATTAATATCCGTTCCATACAGAACGTTATTCCTCCACTCTTCACAGGCTGAATCCTTCCTACCCTCCACGTCACAGCTTAAATGTCACTTCCTAGGAGAAGTCTTCCCTGACCAATCTAAAAGAGATTCTCTAACCTCTGTTCTCTCTCACAGCTCCCTGTTCTTTTTCTATATTAAAATGTATCCCAGGCCAGACATGGTGGCTCATGCCTGTAATCTCAGCACTTTGGGAGGCTGAGTCAGGAGGATCATTTGAGGCCAGGAATTTGAGACCAGTCTGGACAACATAGCGAGACTCTGTGTCTACAAAAAGTAAAAAAGATCAGCTGGACACAGTAGCCCATACCTGTAGTCCCAGCTAGTCAGGAGGTTGAGGCAGGAGGATCGCTTGAGCCCAGGAGTTGGAGACTGCAGGGAGCTACGATCATTCCACTGCACTCCAACCTGGGTGACAGAGTGAGACCTTGTCTCCTGGGGAAAAAGAAATGCATCCCAATTTATAATGTATATCTACTTTTTCTATTTATTTGTTTACAGCTGTGGTCCCCAACCCCCATGCCATGGACCTGTATCAGTCCACAGCCTGTTAGGGACCGGGCAGCAGAGCTCAGGCATATATAGTGAGTACTCAGAAACACCCGCTCCCCCCACATCCGTGGAAAAATTGTATTCTGTGAAACTTAGAAAGGGGAGGTGGGGTGCACAGCAGGGAAGTGAGTGGTGGGTGATTGAACATGAAACTTCATCTGTATTTACAGCCGCTCCCCATCACTCACATCACCGCCTGAGCTCTGCTCCCTGCCCGCTCCACGTCTGTGGAAAAGTTGTCTTCCATGAAACTGGTCCCTAGTGCCAAAAAGGCTGGGGACCACTGGTTTACAGTATACCTCCACTGGTAGAATGGTTAAACCATTTGACCCCAAATGAGGACTTCCCTGAAATGTATGTATCCCAGGACTGGTTAGTAACAGGCACCAATAAATATTCTTTTATTAAGTCAATATAGGTTTATTTCTCTGTTATTTGGAACAGAAAGCACCTAACTCAGTGGTTCTCAATATGCCATTTTGGAAACCTATGGGGGC